GAGGGGCGTGAGGCAGAGGACGCGGTGCCGAGGTCCCACGGTGCGGCCCCGGGGAGGTCACGGCGGGGGAGAGGCTTTCACCCAGCTCCTCTGTTTTGCCCTGGGTGGGACTGGACGGGGTGGGGGGGGACATCGGTGAACCCCGTGCCGAGCGAGGACGCCCCGAGCCTCGGCTTCCCCCGGGCTGCGGGCGAGGAAATGGGAAATTTGGCTTTCGGGGTTGTCCGAAGTTGTCCCACAGCCATCGCGTCCCTAAACCGGGCTCCCCCTTTTTCCTCCCAGCGCCCACCCCACCACGATGGTGGGTCTGAAGCCCCCCGAGGTGCCCCCGACAGCCGCCGTGAAGTTCTTCAGCGCGGGGACGGCCGGCTGCATCGCCGACCTCGTCACCTTCCCCCTGGACACCGCCAAGGTGCGGCTGCAGGTACGATCCCCACCTCCGGCCCCCCGCAGCGGTGGGGTGACAACCCCCCCCCAAACCCCCATCACCCCATTTCTGCATCCCGCAGATCCAGGGCGAGGTGCGGATCCCCCGCGGCGCCGGCACCGTGCAGTACCGGGGCGTTTTGGGGACGCTGAGCACCATGGTGAGGACGGAGGGACCCCGCAGCCTGTACAGCGGGCTGGCGGCCGGCCTGCAGCGCCAGATGAGCTTCGCCTCCATCCGCATCGGGCTCTACGACTCCGTCAAGCAGCTCTACACCCCCAAGGGTGCCGAGAGTGAGTGGCCAGCGGGGGGGGTCGGGACCCTGTCCCCAAAGCAACGACCCTCTCCCGGGGGAGGGGGTCCCCAAACTGCTCACCCCCCAGGGGTCCCGACGGGGTGGGGGGTTCCTGGGTGTGCTGGTGGACAACAGGTTGACCATGAGCCAGCAGCGTGCCCTGGCTGCCAAGAAGGCCGATGGGATCCTGGGGTGCATCAGGAGGCAATAAACGCCATTTGCCGTCCACCACATTGGTGTCTGCGAGCTGATGGCCCGAGCGGCCTGGGGTTGGTCGCCGTGCCGTTCCTGAACCAGGTCGCCACGCCAACAAAGGCAACCCGCTCCCGGGGGGGGGGTCCCCAAACTGCGCAGCCCAGGGTCCCCACGCAGCCAGGGGTCCCGACGGGGTGAGGGCTTCCTGGGTGTCCTGGTGGACGGCAGGGTGACCATGAGCCAGCAGCGTGCCCTGGCTGCCAAGAAGGCCAATGGGATCCTGGGGTGCATTAGGAGGAGTGTGGGCAGCAGGTCGAGGGAGGTTCTCCTTCCCCTCTATTCTGCCCTGGTGAGGCCCCATCTGCAGTGCTGTGTCCAGTTCTGGGCTCCCCAGTTCAAGAAAGATGAGGAGCTACTGGAGAGAGTCCAGCG